ACGCATTGGATAATGTAATATGATCCGTTAAATGTATTTCTACAATATTGATGTTCGTTATGTTAGCTTATAAACAATATCAACTACTGTGTTTCGAATAATATCGATGAATTTCTTAGCTATTATATAGCACATTCAATTCCGAAACTGTTTTAATTTATGTTTAATAATTACAAAGGGTTTGTGAAGAATGTGACGTTTCCATAGTTTACATTACCGGTTGGTTTTTATTTTGACAAGCACTGCAAAGTAGGAAGGACTAGATAACCATTTTGTCTTAGCATGAAACTTCTCAGTTGTACATATGAATGACTCACCATGTCTAGAGGTTTCTATGAGCCTGAGACCCTCAGTCTAGTTCCCGATGATGTCCATGAATATGTGTTGTTTAGGGGTCTTGTACTTGAGAGATTCGTCATTCCGGTGCTTCTAGACTCTCGGTGGGTATATTTGATTATTCAGTTGTTTAAATTTACCAATATGATTATTTATAATTATTCATTTTAATAATTTCTATTTTATTAGGGCTCATTACTTGATGATCATTTTATTACATGTTGTTGTCCTCAACTTGTTTTATGCCAGTTGAGGCGAGATATGAGATATATGGAATCTTAATAAATTTTAATTATGATAAATATAATCAATCGGAAAATGGAATATTTCAATCTTCTTTCGAAGAATGTTGTTTTTTGATTACATGAGCGTTCTATAACATAAACTACTTTCATGTTAAAAAGGAATAATTATAGTGTGCATACATGATTAAGAGTTGTTGATAAAGAATAAAAAGTCTTTGGTAAAATAAGTATTTGACTTGTGTGTTTTCACTGAGCGCGGTGGTTTCCCTTTTAGTAAATATGAAATCTATGTAGAATATTCTTTGCTTAAAGTGTACCATGTGTGTTCATTATTCCTAACAGTTATCGAGAGCTTCTCTGAAATGTCTTAAAAAGATGAGAGAAGTCTGAAGATACTTTTTCCATTCAGCGCTCAGTAAAGCAATACAACAGGGTTCTATAAAAGAGATAGATTATTCGTCATTTCCTGATAGGTTAACTAGCAATTTTCCTACTAATTTGAGTTTATTTTCTAAGTAGTACGGTCACACATAAACCCAATAATATCATTATTTCTGTTCATAAACTAGTTTTGTAAGTTGGGCTTCTTTCGATTCATTCATCAAGACTTTTCACTTAGACGCTAGGAGTTCATCTCAACATTAGTCACTTATGAACGTCTGATGTACATCTCTTTAGTCGGATATATATATTTGAAGAGGTAGATTGATTTCAATAGGGCAAGCTATCAGTCATATGTGGAACAATTTGAATACTTCACTCCTGTCCGAGTTTTTTGCTGATGATGTTATTTTTAAAGGACAATGAAACCTCCACGACCAAACCATCGTGTTAGAAATAATTTACACTTTATGTTTAATTACTTGAAAATTATTTATATTCAAGATACAACAATTGATATTTCATTAATCTAAATTGGAAATGTAAATTTCATATCACAAAGTTTAGTTAATCAAAGCGAAAAATCCACTAATCCGTATAACGTTTTAGTGGCCCGATATCTAACTCCAATTAGATCGTATGAATGTTGTCGAAGTACACATATCGTCAGTCCTCGTATATAATCATCTACTGAATTCGCGTTGGTAAATAACGGGATTGAATAAGTCAAATATGAGAATGAATTTATGAATACATATATTTTGTACACTCACTGATCTGAACAGGAAATAAGAGGGATGAAACGAATAGAAGAGAAAGAAGCGAAATGATACACATTGGAGAGGGCGTGTGAGCCAACTCAAGCATTATTCAATATTTATGGTCACTCAGAAATGAGTTACAGATATGTGATGAGTAGAATAAGATGTACACACACATGCTCTCATATGAATACAGTCAAGGCTGATAATTGAATATTTAGCAAGGTCAAAACATGATTCAAGAAGAATGAAAAAATTGGCCTGTCCAGAAGTTAGAATAAGCTATGTGGGTTTAACATAGTCACCGACACTACAACGTATTTACTAATTAAATTTTGAGTGTTTTCCCAAGAGTTGCACAACAGCAGAAGTTTAACAGAACTCAGTTTTTTTTTTAAAAAGAACAAGACTATATTTTGTAACTTATAACAATCACTCAGAAATTAAATAATTCATACTAAGAAATCTCATTTGTTGATATAAAACTTGAAACAACAAGTATACCATCATATTTACAATTCACTTTACTGTAAACATTATTTTATCGGCGACACTATAATTTATGGACGAACCAATCACGTATAAGATAACAGGTCTCAGATAAATAGAGTTTTGGCATTATAGCTGATGTTAGTTCGTGATGAAAACCTTAAATCTAATTTCTAACCCTAATCATCAACTGTAAATCATAATTCTATTGTGGTATGTGCTACTTATATTGACATAAGTAGTATATGATGTTAGTCATGAACTGAAGGTCTGGCAGTAGAGAGACAAGAGGATCAAACAGTAAAGAATGGAAACAGGATGCAATTTGTATGAAAATGCAAGAACAATGAAGTCTGAGTTATTTTGAGACAATTGGTGGATATTTTGCAAATTAACCATTTACTTCATGATTGTTAGATTTTATTAAGAAGTCCTGTAATTTTGTGTTAGATACATTTGATTGTCTCCACTATACTATTTGCTCACGCTGGTTTATAACCCTTATTTGGTCCTGGTTATTAGGTGGACACTTAATGATCCATAAACAATAGTATCGACATTTTATCCTATATAAATATTTGCAATCAAGAAATCTAAAGTGAATAAATCTAATTAGTTAACACTGAAACATGTTTTTGATGGTGTTTTGTTCTGTAAACAAACCATCCAGGTCAGAGAACAAAACTCCATCGAAATCATACATCTGAGTTACAAATCTTCACCACCGAAACATGTAATAATGATTTGGTCGTGTTCTTCGATTGTTAACTGTTATCTGATATAGGATGTGTATATGTATGTCATGGACATATGGTTCAACACTTTTGAGTTATTTCATACTAGAAGTGTTAGCTTTTTGACTGTTCTTCATTTTCAATAAATCTACGAAATAATAATGTCGTTAAATCATGAAAACTAAATCGAAATTTTTATTAGTTGAAAAATCCTTCCTAGTCAAGTAGTCAAATAAAACCAGATAATTTGTTTGCTTCATTTTACTTATTTACTTACACCTGTTATCTCTCGTGGAGAAGAATGGGCCACCCACCAGTATTCTCAGTTTAACTATGTCATGGGCAATCCTCCCCATTTATTAGCAATTGTTATTCATTATTTTGTTGTCTACTTCCGATTCTCGACTCAGTGTATTCTTTGGACTTCCTATTATTTTAATTTTCCTTCAAGATTCCCAGTTAGGGCTTGCCTCGTGATACAGTTTGATAATTTCCTCAACCACAGTAGGCTGTTGCTGATAGTATACAGCCAAAAGAAAATGAGTATCTTACGTTGATAATTGTTTGTAAATACTTTTACTGTTTAGTTAATGGTTGTGGTAGTTCTCCACGTTTCAGCTCCATACAGGAGAATTGTCTTAAAGTTCGTATTGAAGATTATGACATTGATATTAGTTGACAGTTGTTTTGAGTTTTATGTATTTTTCAGTTGTAGAAATGCCGCCCTTACTTTGTCAATCCTTGCCTGTACATCTGAATCAGATCTTCCTTCTTTCGTGTACTTCTACAAAATTCATTTTTACTAGGTCAGTTAGTTCTGAAAAAAACTATCGGCTTGAAATTCTATGTATCTATTAATAAAATATGAATACAATCTATTGCTCTATGTTCATTTTTTTAAAAACAATATAACCTACTCACAGTAGTAAATGTTAGTCAGTCAGTCAGCTACAACGTAGGACCAGGCACATATATGTATCTGTCCAAGTTACCATACCGCATTAACACAGCAAGATGAACACAGAATTCATAGTAGTTAATTCAGTGGTGGTAGTATGTAAAAGAAAGATTGCATATGATGACATAGTACAGGAAGAAAGAATTAGTTTGTAGAAAAAAGATATGAAGCGATTTTAATCTTATAGTTTAAAGGAAGACAGAGAGTGTATACACCGACGCCATTGTGATCGATTCTGAGCCATGTCACCAAGAGTCTCCAACCATTGGGTACGATAGTCACACGGACCCCAACCAAGTAGTCTGAATTTACCAACATGGCTCAGACTAGAAGTTAGTGACTTCAAGCACTGATGCCATGTTTTGGTTTGGCCGCCCCTAACTTTCTTCCAACCATCCCCAACACTAGTCAGCATTGCGCGTTGTGGTAATCGGTGTTCAGGCATACGTAATACGTGGCCCAACCATTTCAGTCGATGACGATCCACAATCTCATCAACTGATTTACCATCATTCCCTAATACCCTGTGTCTAACCTCACTATTACTTACCCGGTGATTCCAGCAGACGCCAGCAATATTTCTAAGGCATCTGTGGTCAAATACTAGTAGCTTACGATTGTCTTTTGCTCTTAATGGCCATGTTTCGCTGCCATAAATTAAAACAGAACGGACTACCGCGCAGTATACTCTTCCCTCAATTGATAGACGGATATCTCGCCTTCGCCATATGTGACGTAAGTTGGCAAAAGCCAAACGAGCTTTTCGAATCCATGGTGAGATTTCGTCAGAAGTGAAGTTGTCAACGCGTTCGACTACTTTACCCCCTATCCTTAGTTCAGGTTTTGACGTAAGCTAGTCCTGAAGCAACAACTTGCATTTAGAGGGAGAGAAGTGCATAGTTGTAAATAAGCCAATAAACAAAAATGAAGTACAACCAGAAAAAAGTATCAACATAATCCAATTATTTTATTCGTAAATCAATTACTCCAAAGATAATAATCAATAACCAATACCAATCAATCATAATTATTGAATTAAATTTTTTTTACTATATTACTTTATTTAAAATGAAATGAGAAAATTGGACATTGTTAACACATATTTAACTCTTATTATATAAGATTTTAATGGATTATAACACAAATAATTTAGTTCTTGATTTGATCATATTGAATTTTATATAGAAATTATTAAATATCTCCATCATTTTTAACGACATAATCCATATCTCTTTTTAATTGACACATAACACATTGTGTACATATGCATGATAATAAAAAGTCATTAGTTATTGAACCCTAAAAGAAAAGAATCGACATATATTACTGATAAAGGGGGATAATATAGTGAAATACATTCAGTCAGAGATTAGAACTGTTATAAAAATGTAATAGTTAAAATAATGAACAGAATGATGGTCAAAAGATTATGGCCAGTTATATAAAGTAATCAGCTGATAATTACTCATAACATTAGTTTATTGTTCCACGTTCTCTAGATGAACTTATATCAGACAATAATACATTTGTCCAACAAACAAAGTTGTTTACACTTCATTAAATAACACATCTTTATACACAATTTTGACATTATTAAGTGTTACTAAGACAATATAAGTGATTGTACGATTACTATTGTGAAGGTCACTCAATCGCTAATACAGTTGTAGTCTAAGTATCAAACTCATTACTTACAGCTCACCCTAATCATAGAAAGCAAAGAAATAATATTTTCATTTATGGTTATCATGTATTCAAAGTTGTTAATACATTCTTGAAATGGCTATACTAATCATAATTTTGATAATTTCTACATATCTGTTATATCTGTCAAATATATTAACTAATTTTATGTCGAACAGTAACATTTGTTATTGTAATGTAAGAAGACAACAATCCTAGTTAAGATTTCCTGTATGCGGAATTGTGGATGCGCACTGTTGAGGAGTCCACTATTAGGAAGAAACGATCGTTCAGTGCTTTCAGGTTTTCAATGATGGTGTAGCTTAGATTGACTCATTATTTAACTATTAAAATTACCACCATCTCCACAAATTCAAATACTAACTATTTTCTTTTGATCAAATGATCCATACAATTGTTCAATATTAACTACATTATGACAAGTTAAGGTTCAGTTATTTTTCTATATATTGAATTCAAATTTACTGACAGTGATCTTATGAAAATACTATTTTTATCTGTGAGGACGGCTGACGGGTGAACTCAAAGAAGCTCTAAGAAGCTCAGAAAGAGCTGAAGATATTCCATCCAGTCATCTTTTGGAAGAATATTCCAATATCTCTACGTGTAGCTTCCCTATCGGACAAATGTTAAGAACCCACTGTATGCAGATTGGAGGACTATAACGATGATTTCGTTTTTACTGAAAATTATAAACACCTGAGAGGTTTGTACCATATTTGACACTGTTTGGAATAGAATTCCTTTCACTTGTCTTCTGTTTTCTCATTTGCTACTTGGAAGGTTCTAGCGTTTGTGTGCTCCAATCGTACATGGTATATATAACAATCTTAATATATTATACTGATCACATTAATAAGAAGTGATTTAATTTTATACAAAAATGATTCCTGTTTTCCTAATCCATTGAGTATATATACAGATTTTCAAAAATATTAATAATTGTAAGAATTAGTGAAAATAATAACAAATAATAATTCTTACTTTAATTTTATGCCTAAAACGTTGTCGCATTCTAAGTGGACCAGTTCCAGCGCCAATACAAGGCAACCAACACGGTTCATTGGCATATGAATATAAATAGCATAAATATGGGCATGGACAAAACAGTGACAAGAAACCTAAATAAAAAAAGACAAACCAGACAGACATTATTAAATGTTAAATGAATCGTCTGAATCCAAAAGAAAAAGAATATTAGGATGTTATTGACATGAATTTCACTGTGTTTGATTAATATTCGTCGTACTATATTTATTGTAATATAATATTTACTGATTTCTAATACTTGAATTTATCTGTCAATTAAAGCTAGACCACCATGGAAAACCTGGAAGCACTGGACGGCCTTTTCGTCCTAGTATGGGGCTCCTCAACAATGCGCATCCATGATCCCGCCTTTCGAGATTCGAACCCAGGACCTATAGGTCTCGCGCGCGAACGCTTAACCTTTATCTTCAGTGAGTTACTATTTCATAACATATCTGGTTGAACTCTACTGGTCACTGATTCTCAGTGGAACTCCAGGAAACCCCTCTTGAAGTCAGTCACTAGTGATCATATGATGACTCATGAATTCAACTATAAAATTTCTAAAATCTTCAGAAAACACCCTTCTTATTTTTAATAGTAAAGTCTGAATATTATGAAAAACAATTACTCAATCAAAAATTCATCATACTAGAATATTCCATGAAACTTTTTAATTAATGTGAATGTATCATTGGTGTAGATATTGTGCAAGTGTTATGTTTGATGAGCCACTCTATAATTTCTTAATAATTATATAACTAGTTGCTAAACGATGAATTTTACAAGGATTTTCAGTTATTTTAGTAATAAAAATCAAGGATACATTGATAACTTAACTACACATAAAAATTACATTAGGTATATTGACGTTTTCATGGTATTACTAATCACTAGGGATTGTAATATATAAATAGCAGAAGCTGATGGACTAACCCCTGAGAATCTTGTAGATAGTTGTCGAGTTTTAGCAATTAGATTACCTGAAATCTTAGCCAAAATCTAGAAAGTGGATGTAATGCTATCCGACTGGTTTGAATCACTGACCATCTCAGTCTATAAGGAAGGACAACAATCCTCGTGTGACAACCAAAGAGGAATCAGTTTAACTAACATATTGTGTAAAATATTAGCCACAACAAAACTTCATTGTCTAATTACAACACGTGAAGTACAAACTCGAGAAACTCAGGCTGGTTTCAGAACTGGAAGTAAATGTAAAGACCAAATACTTACCCTTTGACAGATTCCGGTACATATACATACTTATCGACGTCCAACTATAGTTGTATTCCTTGACTTTAAGGCGGTGTCTGACTTCGTTGACCGTGAGGTTCTATGTCACTGTCTGTCGTTGAAAGGAGTACCAAAGAAGAATATTAACCTTATAAATGCTTACAAATCGAACACTTCTGGTCGCGTCAGCGATTATGGTAAATTGTTGTCAGAACTGGCCACTTCAAGTAGTGTTTGTCAGCGTTGTCCACCTCCCTCACTTTTATTCAACGTTTTCGGGCGACCAGTGATGTCTGCTGGTGCAAGCGTAGGTTTGAAGAATGTTGGGGACGACCAAATCGAAGCAGAGTATCGATCCATGAAGTCATTTACAATTGGAATGAGCCATGTTAGTAGGTACAGACTACCTGATCAGGGTCTGTGTGAATGTCGTAACCAATGGTTAGTGACTCTGAATGACATGGCTCAAAATTGTTTGTAATGGGACTGGTGCATCCAGTCTTTGTCTTCCCCCAAATTCTGAGATCCGAAATGTTTCATAACTTTTCTTGTTTTAATTCCGCTAATTTATATTTTCTTTTCGAGTCATATCTTCGAGGCCTATTCCTTCCTATTATCATTGATACTGTAACTACTCCTACTGATGTGAGATTTGGCCTGACAACTTCATCTCTCTGTGCTAATGAGATTTGACAAGTCTGTTCGATGTACACATGTTGTAGTTCTACGTTATGACTAAATGAATCATTATATAAATAACGAATGATTTAGACAGCGTCAAGTCATATCCTTCCATTGGCATATTTGTTTACAGATAACAAAAAATATTCAAAATTGACGAGAATAGGTTCGTAAATCATGCTATAAACATATTTGAATGGATACGCAATGGTGTGACGTGATAAAATGACATTTAGCTTTTGTGTTAGGTAACACTCGTCCGGAAAATATGCTTGTGATTTGCTGAGAATCAAATTCGCGTTGTTAAATATCATAGTGAGAGATATTACCCATCAGCTTCTCAGGCTGCAACAATTCCGTACAACTGAGATGTACTCTGTTGACGAGTGTCAGTTAGTGAGGAACTTAGTTCCAATATCTCGACAACTAATTTTAATCTCATTACATGAAAGCAAATTATTATATGATTTTGTGATAGTTAGACAATTGTTAGCATTCCAGTTTGATGGAGAAAACTATAGCATCACTTATGATTAGTTAGTATGAAACTGGTTATAACTAACAAATAGAATAATTTGATAATGAATTTTTAAGTATTTTAGATATTTCACAAAGCTTTACGTAGATTATTTGAAACAAAATTGAATAACTTTATAACATCTATGTGCACTTGTTATCAGTTATGATAAACTTAATTGCTAGAAATTTAAACACTCAATGATTAATAAATTTAAAAGATACATATGCTGTGTTCTGAACTACTCATATACACATAAGTAGTATATAGCAGTGATCAGATATAGAATGTATTTCAGTGGAAGATCGAAAGGGAAAGAACGGGAACGGAAAGTAATTGGTATAGAAATGCATGAACAATGAAATATGAGACGATGGATTGAGATTCGCAAAAGGAACAGTCAAGTTTGAGACAGTTGATTGGTATTTTGTAAATTAACTATTTACTATATGGTTCTCAGATTTTAATAAGATGTTCTGTAATTTTACGCTCAATTGCATTTAGTTATCCCCACTCGTGTTCGTGTTCACCACAATGCTAATTAATGTTTTATTTTCTGTCATATTCTATGAAATTTCAAAGTAGTCATGAATAAACGTTTAGAATCTATACCGTCCTTACCAAGTTAATAATCTCTAATGTTGTTAAATGTAACATTGTTTGAGTAATTATTGTCAATAAAAATCTCTTGTTTTTATTTATATTCCCTTTGAATTTTCTGCATCTTGTTAATAGTGATTTGTTCGAAATCATTAACAAGGGAATGAAATTTGTGAAAATACCATAAATTTAGTGCTTTGACAAAAAAAATAGTTTTTCAACTTATAGACTGACCTTAGTGAAACGATCATCCTAGTACATAACTCCCCATAACTGGATATTCATAATCAAGTGATGTCGGTATATAGAAAAAGTGCTCAAGTTATAGATCACTGAGCCACTATTACACAATCCTTATCTAATACATTGTTAACAACTACCTAACTTCCAAAATGGTTAAAACTCATTGGTCATAGTTTCTGACTAGAACTCTAACCAGCAGCTTTTTGAACAAATAACTATAAGTTCAAATTATAGAAAGTTAAAAATTCTTCAATTTGAAGTAGGTAGAACAGTAAATTTTACAATTAATTTCCGTGGTTAAGTTAGCATCATATAAAAAGTAAATCATATAATCAACTGCTCTATATGAACTTCTAGTAGTTGAACAATGCAATAGTAATTATTGTGAACGATGAAAACAATTATCAATACGGGGCTATATAGATGGCTTTATTTTTTTTTGAAACCACAAACCGGTCTAACTTAGGAAACCATGGAAATCCTGGACTCACAGGAAATTCATATCATTCGAGTACGAAACTCCTCAGTACGCAATCATGACTTAGCAACTGAGAAATAAACCTAGGGTTTTTGATCTCTAATAGTGGAACATGGTTAAGTAATATCGTGAACTGATTAGAGTTAAAAACCATCCAAACTTGGCTAAGTGATCCTAAAGTTAAGCGTTCGAGCGAGACCAAAAATTATGGGTTTGATTCCATGTGGTGAGGTTGTGAATGCATGATTCATAGGAGTTCCATAATAGGAACAAAGAAATGTCCATATCTCTCTGATTTTCAACAGTTTTCTAACTAAAATCAATTTGTGATCCCAATATAAAAATCACAAATTATTCTTTTGACAAATGCAATATATTACATTAAAATAATTGTCGTAAAACAAATATTTCAGTTTGTAAAAAAACTTACAACTAGTAAGGTCATTTGTACACTGAAATAGGCCTGACTCCCATTCTCTGGTCTCCTCAATTTGCTGGAAGAAACAGGAAATGATCATTAGATGGAATTGGATTAGTTAATATTGGCCATATTAACCAATAGAAAAATAAAAAGTATCCCAAATAGTAACTGGTATCTCAATCATTTCATTATGAACTGACATTAACTGAAAGACATAAGACTGGATGTAGAGAGAACAGAAATGAGGTGAAGTAGATAATCAACTGTGTTTTTTTCTGCTTCAAATGTTTATCCTTGACAAATGAAATGTTACGAGCATAACCAAAGCAAACTAACAATAACGAAAAGCTGGGGTCGTTTTCGTTTATCATTTCTGAAGATCTATACGAGTCAATGAATAAAATTTTGTTTACTGAATAGATCAGAAAATTCACCACAGAAGTTCCCGAAGCGCAATATGTTTTTGTTCTAAACAGTTGACTACTCATTAGTAACCAGTAACATCTCAGGGTGAGACTCTAATTTATGGACGAGTCAATCAGAAGACAGTACAAAGTAGAAATATACCATAAAAAACTGAAGAATTAAAGTGGATATTCTTCTTTTACATGATTTAAAAACTTATTAAGGTTTGATAGACGTTCAGAGGTTCTGAAATCATAGTACATACTGTATAGAAATTCATCCATATGGCACTATAATAGTCGAACTCTGGAGCCGTGATACGGTCTTAAAAAACTCCTTTAGTCTGGACCACTTGGCTTCAATATTATTAGTGTGAACGCCCCTTGTAGGGTCGACAAAATGGCGCTTGTTCACTAAGACATGATGCACATACCCAAGTCTATGAAGGCATCTATACGCTCTCCAATCATTTGTATATATCGTAGTGCCGGCTGAAAGTACTCCTGTATAATTGGTATTATTGTGCTTGCTTGCCGGTTTCT